ATTCAGACATAAAATGCCCCTCATAGCTTTCTGTAAATCAGCCGGGAGTTATTTGTCTCTAAAATTGAAATTGCAAACCGTGAAAAAGAATGGAAGAAAAAACCATATAAACAAGAGAAAATATTGAGCAGTTTTCTTTTCTGTCCAAAGTGGCAGTTGAACTGTAAATCTGTTGATACCTGGTTACAGCTATTTTCCAGAGGCAAAACTGGCACAAAAATAAACAGCACTGTAAACATCAAGGAAGCTGAGAATTATATTAACACTTCTCCTTCCTTAAACCCTTATACACATTCTAACCTAACAAAAATGCATTCTAAATTAATTCTTATTGCTTTGACAACCCATATGGAAGAATTAGCCCTGGCGTTTCCCAAAATATTTTGTCAACCAAATCCATTTAATCCACGAGTGAGTGTACTTTGGAGAATAGTGGTAAATTCACGTCTCATACGAGTTAAGTGAAATGTAAACAAAAATTAAACAAGAAAAATGAATACATATAAGGTCAATTCACAACCAAAGGAAAGGTTTTCAAATTAGATTTATTATGAGGTACATAAGGCAAAGGTGTATGTAGCATTGAAATAAATATTCAAAATTACACCATGAAATGAATGTCAGTTTTGATGTTCCCGGGGCTGCATATAACAAAACGCCAACTCACACAGGCTCGAGAAAGAAGGAAGTTTATTTTCCAAGTTAAGAGCGCAGCGGCAGGCGGGCTTGCTCTCAGCACTGGCTTCCTCCCCAGGCCAGCAATCAGGGCTCCCCAGCTACAAGCTCCTCTCTCAGATGAGACAGATGGCCAGGAGCAAAGGACCACCTCTCGCTCTCCTTTCTTAGGCTTGAGGCATCTTTCCCAAAAGCTCCCAGCAGTCTCCCCTTTGAGGTTTGATAGTCAAAACCAGAACCCACTTCCATTCCTAAACTGGTAAGGGGAACTGGATGACAATGGCCTGACGGTGATTACGGAGAGCTGAATGAATGTTGCTGGTCAACCACACAGCCTCTACGTGATTTAGAAAATAAATGAATCCGCTTAAAACACACTTGGTTTTCAGTTCTTTGGGTGTTTAAGATAAATTTAAAAACTTTTTAAAAACATGTTTGCATTGAACAAATATATATTTTCCTCCAATTTTAATTAAAAAGGGAAGGAATTATAAAAAGTAAATGAAATGAGCACTTTAAATCAACCATTCAGAGCAAATACAATTACCTGACACTATAACTCTAGTCCAGTACTAGCTCATTCTCCGCTACCCAGCTACGTCTGACCAAAGAGGAAAGGATAAACGTATTTTCTTCCCATAAATGTCATAGTTTAAATTACTAAATTGCGTCATGCATTCATTTATTCGACAATTGTTTAACATCTGCTAATATAAGGTATTGTTCTACAGAAAACACACACACACACACATACACACACATACACACACATACATACACATGGGTTTTTGGTACTTCATTTATGGAGTAAGCTTTTGATGGGGAAAAGACTGGTATTATGCTTACTGTTTAAACAAGGAATTGTTTGATTTTAGGGTCCATTTCTATAAAATTTACCAAATAAATGTTCATTATAAAAAAATAAAAAAAATAAAAAAACCAAGAGAACAACTACAGGCAACTTCCAAAGTGGTTAAAACAATTACTGAAGAAACCTCTGGGTTTTTTTTTTTAAAAAAAACAAAACACAATTTTCATATTTCTAATATTATTAACAGTGCATACAGATCTAAAATGTTTTTTAAATTATCTATTTTACACATTCACTATTCAATAAACATACACTGAACACCTATTATCGTCCGTTACTATGATAGAGATTGAACATAACCCAGAGGCTGGTAGCAAAGCGAAGTCCAGGAAGGAAGCAGAGTGGTGAGCACGGTAACTGGAAGGCACGCGGTCCAGCCACCTGGGAGGGGGAGATCAGAGAGAGCTCGTGTGCAGATGCGATGCCTCGGCCGGATCCTGCAGGAGAGGAGGCAGGTGGCCCACAGCACGGCGCAGGAGCACAATGTAGGCGCAGGGGAGGTGTGGGCAGCACCAGCAATAGCCCGTTTAGTCATTTTCTTCCTCAGCCCTTTGTTTACATCATTGAATTTCACTGTGGGGGTTGCAGCCACCTTGAGCACTTGGACCCCAGTGCCTGGCGCAGCCCTGGTCAGCTGCAGATACTAAGAACATTTGTTGAACAAATCAATAAATGGGAACTAGAGATGACAGCATGTGAGTGCTTATATAATTATGAAAACAAACACAGAAACTTTAAGTACATGCCTTCCTCTAATCTCTTAAAATGCAAGATAAGTAATGTTTGAGGCAAGGAAGAAATACACGACAGACAGATCTTTATGATGTGTAGAAGCCAATAAAAAGTGATAAATACAAGCATAGAGTGAAGTAAACGAGGTATGAAATGAGAACAAAGGAAAATAGATGACTTTCTGCTCCGCAGGATTTACAAAATTGGAGCTTTTGCTGAAACTGATTTATATGTAAAAATGATACACGAATTGGTACTAATCATCTCGTTTATGTGGCAAACGTTATCCTTAGGCAAATGGAGGCGGCGGGACATGAGACTAAAGGTTTGTACTGAGGATTTTTTCAGATTACCTCAAATAGGACAGGTCACCCTTCAGTTTCCTAAGAACAAAAACTTTCTTTAGATAAAACCGAAGGAGAATGGAAGGAGCTTAACAACAAAATAAACCCAATTTATGTGATAATTAAATGGTAATAATTCTCATATGGCAATATTCTCTAATACTCAATTGTCCAAAATTATCCCTGACCAAGGGCTGGGACAGGTTCTCTATTCCCCATGGTCTAACTGATATACCCATGTAGGCCCAGCCCACTTGGCCAGCGGCAGCAGCAGACGAGAGGTGAGGAGGCGAGACCTCCACCAACCACCTGCATTAAAAAGATTCACTGTGCTGCACCTATCCCTCCTTCTGGTAAGACCATCCCA